GAGTGAATCGCGAGGAAAGCTTGAGCGGCAGCCCTGTCCTATGGGGCCTCCACCTCCATGTTCGAATCCGAGGCGGTCATCGGCACACCCTGTAAAACGCAAGTTTGGTGACTCCCGGGAGCCTGAACCCCGATGGAGTCTCGAGCGGGAGCCCCGTTCCCGAGCACACCGAGGGGACGCCTCGGGCGCTCACTCGCGTGTGAATCGCGAGGAAGTCTTGAGCGGCAGCCCTGCCCTATGGGGTCCCCACCATCATGTTCGAATCCAAGGCGGCCATCGACAAACTTTGTTAAACACAAGTTTGGCGACACCTGGGAGCCTGACTCCAGAGGAAATCTCGAGCGGGAGCCTCGTTCCAGAGCAGATTGAGAGGATGTTTTGAGCGGGAGACTCGTCTGTGAGTGAAGCGCGAGGGCGTCTCGAGCGGGAGCCTCCTCACGATGTGGTCCCCGTCTCCTGTTGGTCATCTGAGGCTGCCATGGGGATACTGGGGGCCTGAATCCCGAAGCAGTCTCGTGCGTGAGCCTCGTTCCTGAGCAAATTGTGATAATTTTTCAAGCGGGAGCCTCGTCTGTGAGTGAATCGCGAGCATGTCTCGAGCGGGAGCCCCCTCCCGATGTGGTCCCTGCCTCATGTTGGCAATCTGAGGCTGCCATCGGGATACTGGGGGCCTGAATCCCGAAGCAATCTCGAGCGGGAGCCTCGTTCTTTAGCAACTTGAAAAGATGCACCTGGCGCTTGCCTGCTAGTGAATCGCGATCAAGTTTCGAATGGGAGCCCCTCCCCATGGGTCCCCAGCTTTATGTCGAGGAGGCGGTTTTGATTCCCTGTAAAAGAACAGGTTTGATGACACCTGGGAGCCTGAATCTCGAGAATGTCTCGAGCGGGAGCCTCGTTCCTTTGTCGAGCGTCCTTTTTAATCCGATGCGGACAACTTCAATCAAGCTTGCAAGCGTCGGCAAGGGCCAGCATATACCAGTCAGGCAGAGAGCCTCCGTAGTGACAAGGACGACGATGAGGATTACTCCCATATTAGTTTATAAGGTTCTCTTGTGGGATCCCTCCGTCGGAGTTTGTTGTGTCTTTTGCTTTGGTTGGATACACACGCACACGCACACACACATGTATACACATGCATAAATGTATATATACATATTTACAGATGTGTATTTTATATATATATATATATATATATATATATATATATATATATTATATATATATATATATATATGAATATGAATATCTGTAAATGTACACAGATATTTAATCGCTTCGCTCATGCCGCCGGCCCTGGAGCCCTCTTTAGGGCCTCTTGGGGGCCTCTTGGGGACCTCTTGGGAGTCTCTTGGGGCTCCTTGGCGGCGTTTTAGAGGCCCCCAGGGCCTCTTGGGGGGCTCTTGGGGGTAGTCGATTGCGGCTCCCCCCTCGGAGGCCACGATCCTCGTGAGGGGTGTCGAAAAACACCCTCCCCTGGAGTGGTCTGGTGGCTTCTCCCGGGCTTCTCTCGGGACCTTGCCGGGGTACTTTTCGTCCGGGGGCCCCCAGGGGCCGCTCCGCGCGCGCGAACTAGAAATATTGTTAACAAGTTACCGGAGATCTTAGCACGCCTCTGGCCCGTTGGGCCGGCGAATTTTTTGCAGGCAGGGCCCCAAGTCTGAGTTCGAGTTTTCCCCTTCTACTTGTGGGCCTCTTGGATCTCTCTTGTGGGCCCGTGGGCCGTCTTCGAGAGAATTTTGGGCTGCCTCTCATGCGAAGTCAATGATTTTGGCCTCTTGGGCCAGCCCCCAGGGACTCCAAGCCGGCCCGAGAGTCCCCGCTGCCCTCGAGCCCTAAGATGGCCTCAGGGGCCCATCTTGGGCTCTTTGCTCCTGGCTCTGGGGCCCTGAGAGGGTCAATATTCAGTATTGGGGACTCGGTGATCTGAGGGCACTCCATCCACTCGGTGCATACGGCACGGTGGCGGATTCTCCCCTGAGGCGGTTGAGGAGGCGAACGCTTTCTGTTCTTCCGCCGCTTTTCGCTGCTACCAGTGTGAGCAACGATTCGCGTCGTGGGCCGCCTGCGAGGAGCACCTTCTCCAGAGCGGCCACCTGTCCTGGGCAGGCGAGGACGCCCAGCGCCTCCTCTGCCTCCCCGACGTGGACCCGGCCGACTGCGCGGACGACGATGCCGACGGGGCTGACGCAGGGCAGGCTGGGAATCCGGGTGCTTCCGCTCGGCGGCGAGCCCGGGGGGAGTCAGGAGGGCGGGCCTTCTCAGAAGGCTCGGAAGTCCCCGAGCCCTCTGATAAGTTTTCTAAGCTCTTCCCGAAGACAGAGAACCTCTCAGAAGGCTGGAGGCCTTCTGAGAAGGCCTTCTCCTTCTCGTTTCCCCGACACCATGCTATGCCATGTAATGCTATGCCATGCTTCGACATCCGATTGTGCGAATAGAGAGGAGACCTACGCCATGGGAAGGGATGGGAGGGAGGGGCAGGGCGTCAGAGATGTGGCGCGGGCGTGCCTAGCTCGCCGCTCTCCCCCCCTCGCTCGCCGCCGGGCCCCAGCCGTGCCCCGAGCCGCCGACCCCGCACCTGCGGCGGCCGCGACCGCGCCCTCGCCCGCGGCCGCTCCGGCCGCGGCTGCGGCGCCGAGCGCGCGGACCCCGCGGCCAGCTCGGCGGCCTGCCCCCCCTGCGGAGCGGGCGCCCGCCGAGCCTGCGGGCGCTCCGCGGGCGGCGGGGCGCCCGGGGGCCGCGGCGGCCGAGCGGCGCGGCGCCAGGCCTGTCGCAGCGGGCGCCGCGGGCGCCGCGGGGCTGGCGCCAGAGGTCGGCCACTCGCAGAGGGGGGGTAGGGTGATGGGCCTGTTTTCCACCACCACCGCCACATGTTGGAGGGGGAGGGGGTCCTCCTCCTCCTCCTCCTTCTCCTCCTCGTCGTCCTCCTTCCCCCCTCTAACTCATGGTGGTGGTGGTGGTGGAAAGCAGGCCCATCCTAGGGCGGGGGGGAAGGCTTCTCAGAAGCACCCCTGCTTCTTAGCAGGCGCGGGCCTCGTGTGTGAGTGCGAGGGCTGGCGCTGTCCAAGAAGCAGCCTCCTTCGAAGGAGCCTTCCCCCCTCCCCCTGCTCCCTGGTGCGCGCGGCCATGGAGGGGTCGCCGGGCGCCGCCTCGGGCGGGCGGGAAGGGGCCCGCTCCGGGCAGGGTGCTCCAGCCTCGCCGGCTGGGCCTGCCGCCGAGGCTCGGCCGCGGCAGGCGAGGAAGCTGCCGCCGCCGCCCGCGAGGATACTGCCGCCGCCGCCGCGGCGGAGCTGAGGAGGGGGCAGGGGTCGAAGAAGGCACAACTGGGTAAGCATGCGCTCTCGGAGCCCCGCGCGCGCTCCTTGGATCGGCGCTGGGCCACCCTGACGGCGCCTCGGGCGCCGCCCCTGGCGCGCTCCGCAAGGGAGGGAGTCCAGTGTTGGTCCAAGACATCCGCGTTGACCTCGTCCTCGAAGGAGGCTGGCACACGAGGAGCACCCCCTGCCGCGGCTCTGGCGGGCGGGCCCCTTGGGCCTGCTGCCGAAGGCGCCCGTGGTGGTGAGCGGGGCGGGGCAGCGCTGGCGCGCCAGTTGCGTGCCAGAGGGATCTCGAGCCCGCGCCCGACTCGGCCGGAGGGCCGTGCGGCACGAGCTCGGCAAAACGGCGCTGACGGCGCCCCTCGTCGTCGTCGTCGTCGTCGTCGTCCTCCTCCTCCTCCTCCTCCTCCTCCTCTTCCTCCCCCTCCTGCAGGACCTCCTTGCCGCCGGGGGGTCCATTTCGACATCGATTCTGGCTGGCCGATGCGGAGCGATTCCGATATTCAGACGACCCGATGCGGCCCGATGCTTGCACGGTGCTGTTGCGCACCCTGGCGAAGCGATCTACTTCGATCCCGCCTCGCTGCCGAGGCGGCCCGAGCACGTTCCGGTCCGACCCGACCTCCCGATTCGATGCTGGCTGATCCTGCCAGTCTCGCCGTGGAGGCGCAGAGACACAGTGCATGCCTCTGGGCGTGCAGGCCCCCAAAGAGTAGTCTTTCTTCTCGGGTCGCACAAAGGTGCACCCTTCTGCAGTCAACCCGCATGGTACGGACGGGTCATTTTCCAAGGTTGCCCTTGCATCCTTCCCCTGCGGCCCATCCTTGGCTGCCCTCGCTGGCCGCGCCCCGCTCGCAGAGTGTCGACATGGCCCCCCAAGGCCCTCGCATCCTTGGTTGTACGGGTTGATTGTACCTCCTCGTCCCCCTCGCCCTCCTCTCGCCTTCCCCCCGATCTCAGCGGCGCGGAGAAGGGGGTTGTGGTGCGAGGGCGGCGGCCTTCTGAGAAACCAGGGGTCTTCTTAGACCTTGGGGACCTCTTGGGGGCCTCCTGAGGCGATCTTCGGGGCCTATTGTACTGTCTTGGAGCGTCGGGATCCCGAAAAGGCGAGAACGCTAACATCGCTCAAAACCTAAGGAAACTCAATGATTTTGGCGTTTATTGGGGCTCCCGTCTTACCAAGAAACCCTCCTGGAAGCCTCCGAGCACTTCGAAGACACCCCCGAGCTTCGGTCGTCGACACACGACGACCCCGCATCTCCGCGGGCGACATGTATGCACCGTACCGCGTTGGCGTCTCCCGAGGCGTCGTCGATCCTCCACCCACGAGTGGTAGGGTGCATAGTTTTTCGGCCCTCAGAGCCGAGAAACTATGCACCGTACCGCGCTGAGGCGCGGCCTGACGGAGTCCAAGCACTGTACGGTGCATGGCCGCCGTCCTCGTAGCACCTCCGAGCCTGCGCCGCTGGAAGGCACCTCTTTGGGGCCGTCTTGGGGCCCTCTCTGGGGGGCCTCTTGGGCCGTCCTGGAGCCCTCTTGCGCCGTCTTGTGGGCCTCTTGGCCGTCGAGCGCCCGAGGCCCGAAAGGGCGAAAACGCTAAGATAGTCGAAGCATCTAAGGACGTCACTGATTTGGGGCTCCCAGAGGTCATCCTGGAGCCCACATCTTCGAGCCTGCGCCCGCTGGAGGCAGCCCCGCGCAGCCCTCGCGAGGGCGGCCGGCCCGCGAGCCCCGCGGCCATGGCGCGGGCCGTGCTGGGCGTCGGGGGGCTGCGGTCCGCCCTTCCCGCCCGCCGCCGCAGCGGTCTGGCCGGTCCGAGCTCGGGCTGGGAGTGCCCCCCCCCTGCCGCCGCGGCCTCCCGAAGGCGGTCGCCGTCACCCAGGCGGCTACCGCGCGCGCGTCGCCCCACGAAGTGGCGCGACGCGCGCGCGCGCCGAAGTCGGCTGGGAGAGCTGCTCGGTGGCGGGCGCTCTCTGGCCACCCCGCGGGGGCAACGATGTGCTGCACGACTGTGCTGCTCTTGCCGCACAGGCACGCGCACTACTCGTGAGCGGGGCGGCGCGGGCGGCGGAGGTGTAACTCCACATGTTTTCGGTACTTCCAATCGGAGCAGCACCGACGCAGCTACTCATTTGCTCCAGTGCCTTGTGGACGGGCGCGCATGCAGGCTCACGAATGCGCACACGCTCTATGGAATGTTTAACTTTGCCCTTCCGGTTGCTGCACCTTCCCCTTCAGCATCCGTAACAACTCTAGCTCAAATTGACAGCACTTACTACGGTTCCTAGGCCCCAGGACCGTCAAAGGACGACTCGGGACGAGACGCCGGTCCTGCGGAGAGGGGTTCAGACCTCTGGGCGGGCTTCCTCCTTCTGCGTCACAGCCTAGGCCTCCCAGATGGGGCCGGATCAGACGGGATTGGAGGATCGCGCCGCATCGCTGATACAGCGGCGGCTCACCGGCGATGTCGCTCGGTGTGGATCCCGACTTTCTTCACGTCGACGTCGGCGATGCACCGCCGATGCATCGTCGGTGCGGCGCGATCCTCCGACCCTACTCGCTGGGGCCCCCAGTTGGGAGGGAGTGCCCTGTGCTGTGCTCGGGACGGTGTGATCGAAGCGGGTGCGGATACACTGGGCTCGAAAACCAGGGATCGACCTAAGCAGTGTCTTTCGTTTTCGTTCTGTTTTCGTTTTCGTTTTCGTTCGTTTTGTGCTCAATTCGCCTTTGCTGTAAAACGAAGTCGAAACGAAAACAGCCCACGAAATCACCCAAACAACGTTCAGATCGAGCCCTGCAGCAGTTCCCGTCTGCTCCGAACAGGGCTCGCTGCCGGTGCGCCGCGGGCATTGTCTATCTGAGTCGCAGGGTCGCTTGCCCAACGGAGGCAGCTGACGGATTTGGACAGCCTTTGCTGTTGGGCATGGTGCCTATTCTTTCCGTACCCACTTCGGGCGTCCAGGCTCCCGAATGGGGCCGCAGGACGCCCAGACTCCCAAGGATATTCCCCAATCAGAGCTTGCCTCTGTAGGGGTCCTAGCGGACTCATTCCCCAATCAGAGCTTGCTTCTGTAGGGGTCCTAGTGGATTCATATGGTTAGGTGAGCTTTGCCGCCGATTTCCGCGGCCCGCCCGGGTGCCCGGGTGCCCTAGTGCCCCGGGGCCCGGGTGCCCGGGTGCCCAGGTGCTCCGGTGCCTTATAGCCCTATAGCCCTATAGCTTTATAGCCCTATGGCCCTATAGTCCTATAGCCTTATAGCTCAATATGCCTATAGCCCTATAGCCCTATAGCCCAATCACCCTGTAGCCCTATAGCCCTATAGCCCTTTAGCCTTAAAACCTTATAGCCCCATAGCCCAATAGCCCTATAGCCCTATAGCCTTATAGCCCTATAGCCTAATAGCCGTATATCCCTATAGCATTATAGCCTTATAGCCCTATAGCCTTATAGCCCCATAGCCTTAGGGCCCTATAGCCCTATAGCCCCATAGCCTAATCACCCTATAGCCCTATAGCCCTATAGCCCTATAGTCTTATACCCTTATAGCCCGTTAACCCTATAGCCCTATAGCCCTATAGCCCTTTCGCCCTATAGCTCTATATGCCTATAGCCTTATAGCCCTAGAGACCTATAGCCCTATAGCCCTACAGCCCTATGGTCCTACAGCCCTATAGCCCCATAGCCCTATCGACCCATAGCTCTATGGCCCTATAGCACTGGAGCCCCATGGTCCCAGAGCCCCATAGCCCCATAGCCCCATAGCCCTATAGCCCTACAGCCCCATAGCCTAATGGCCCTATAGCCCTATAGCCTCATAGCCCTATAGTCCTATAGCCCTATGGCCCTATAGCCCTACAGCCCTATAGCCCTACAGCCCTAAAAAGGTTCCGATTGTTTTTTCTCCGGTATTCTATGGTTAGCTGAGGTTTGCCACCGATTTGCCACCGATTTCCGCGACCCGCCCGGGTGGTCGGGTGCTTGGGTGCCCGCTGGCCCGGGTTCCCGGGTGTTCGGGTGCCCAGGGTCCCTATAGCCCTACAGCCCTGTAGCTCCATATCCCTATAGCCCTATGGCCCTATAACCCTAAACCCTATAGCCCGCTTTATAGCCCTGTAGCCCGATAGCCCTATAGCCCTTTAGCCTTACCTATAGCCCCATAGCCCAATAGCCCAATAGCCCTATAGCCCTATAGCCTTATAGCCCTATAGCCTAATAGCCCTATAGCCTTATAACCCTATAACCCTATAACCCTATAGCCCTTCAGCCCTATATCCCTATAGCCCCATAGCCCTATAGCCCTGTAGACCTATAGCCCTATAGCCCACTAGTCCTATAGCCCTATAGCCCTGTATCCGTACAGCTCTATAGCCCTATAGCCTTATAGCCCTATATTTCCATGTGCCTATAGCCCTACAGCCCTATAGCTCCATAGCCCTATAGTACTATAGCCCTATAGCCCTACGGTCCTATGGCCCTATAGCCCCATAGCCCGATATACTCATAACATTATGGCCCTATAGCCCTATAGCCCTATAGCCCCGTGGCCCCATAACACCATAGTCCTATAGCCCTACAGCCCTATAGCCCCATGACCCTATAGCCCTATAGCTCAGTATAGCCCTACAGACCTGTAGCCCTATGGTCCTATAGCCCTATATATCCATAGCCCTATTAGCCCCACTGCCCCATCGCCCAATAGCCCAATAGCCCCATAGCGCCATAAAGACTTAGATCGTTTTTTTGTTTATCTGGTATCATGTGTTTCCCAACCCTTCTGAGCTGGGTTCTCGTTTGTAGAACACTGTGGTGACACATCTCCTCATTCTTCCCCCTCCTCCTGCCTCCTCGCTGCTCCCTAGGGGGGCTACGAACTGCGCAACTGTCGCCACTTTCGTGGGCTCCTGGGAGGCACGGCGGAGTAGGGGAGCAAACGGACCCATACTAGACCTCTCAGCTCCCTGGGAAGCTGCGAACTGCGCAACCGTCGCCACTTTCGCTGGTTCCTTGGAAGCACGTCGGAGTAGGGGAGCAAACGGACCCAGACTGGACCTCGCAGCTTCCTGGGGGGCTGCGAACTGCGCAACTGTCACCACTTTCGTGGGCTCCTGGAAGGCCTAGAGGCCCTCTTGTGTCAATTGTGGGCCTCCTTGGGCCCTTCTTGGGGCCGTCTCGGGGCCCTCTTGGGGGCTCCTTCGACCGCCTTCGGGTTCTCTTGGGGGCATCTTGGGGCGTCTTGATACGTCGGAAGCTAAGTCATGCGAGAGCCACCACCACATAGAACAACCGTAGTAGCATGACTGAGTTTTGCATCTTGATGGTATCTTGGGAATGCTCTTGGGGCTCTCTTGGGACGCCTCGAAGGGCTCCTGGGCCGCCAAGAGGTCACCTTGGGCCGTCTTGAGGTCACAGTGGGTAGTCTTGGAGCCATCTTGAGTCGTCTTGGAGCCGTCTCGGCTTCGGGAACACGAGCTTGTCGTATCTTACAAGGGGTTGCTGCCTTGGGAGTGTGGTCCCGTTGGATTAGGCGAGTGATTTCGGCCTCGGGCGAGGATGCGATGCATGTTGGCCAGCGTGGGTAGATGGGGGTGGCTAGAAGATTACAGACACCCTGTCGGACTCAACTTGGCATTCGAGCATGCCCCAACGTGCCAGGGGGCACGGTGGTGGATACGGACAAAAAGGATGGAGGAGGAGGAGGAGGCGGACGAGGAGGAGGAGGAGCAGGAGCAGAAACAGGAAGATGAGGGGGAGGGAGGGAGGGAGGGAGGGAGGGAGGGAGGGAGGGAGGGAGGGAGGGAGGGAGGGAGGGAGGAGGGAGGAGGAGGAGGAGGAGGAGGAGGAGGAGGAGGAGGAGGAGGGTAGGAGGAGGAGGAGGGGAAGGAGGAGGAGGAGGAAGAGGAGGAGGATTGATGAGGAGAGAGATCGATGAGGAGGAGAAGAGGAAGAAGAGGAAGAAGAGGTGGAGGAGGAGGAGGAGGGAGTGATTGAGGGAGGGAGGAGGGAGGAGCAGGAGGAGGAGCAGGAGGAGGAGGAGCAGGAGGAGGAGGAGGAGGAGGAGGAGGAGGAGGAGGAGGGGGAGGAGGACGAGGACGAGGAGGAGGACGAGGCGGAGGAGGAGGCGGAGGACGAGGAGGAGGTGGAGGAGGAGGAGGAGGAGGCGGAGACGGGTTAACCATTGGTGCGCAGGAGCAGGGCAGCAAGATGGAGCGCGGATTTAGGGGCCAAGAGGGCACGCCTGCCCCATACGTGATCCCGAGGTCGGCGGAGTACCCGCTGATCCGTGCCCACGTAGGCGCGCGGCTGCTGCCCCTGTACCAATTGTTCCCTGAAAGCAGGTGTTCTCGGATTCCCAGGCTCCAGTCTACTTCAGGTGCCTTCCCGTTTCAAGAGTCGAGTGGTTTTCCTGCTTCCTTTCTCTTCGGGGGGAGGGCGGGCACCACATGATGTATTTTCGATGCCTTCGTACTGCATGTTTCGACCTACTTCTTCCGAGCCATGGGTTCTGTTGCGGGCAGAATGGCAGATGGCGGATGGAAGAACTCGTCAAAGTTGCTGTGTGACACATTCTCTCGGGAGGGATTGGCGATGGGCTCGAGTGGGAATCGCTAGTGAAGTACGCTTGAACCTCCTCGTCAGGGAGTAGGGCTGAAATACCGGAGGCGTCTCCAGCACGTGGTCGCCGCCCCGTGAAGTTCGCGCTTCATACATCACCACCCACCAAACCACCCCAACCCAACCCGAAGGCTCAGATTTACCCTCGATCTCCAGTGGGGGGAGTGTCGGGAGACATCGAACAAACACACGTGGAACCCTTACCCCCCCCAACCCGAAATTCGGGTCTTCGGGTTGGGTTGGGGTGGTCTGGTAGGTGGTCAATGCATCCCCAGAACATGACGTCCGACAGATCTCCGTCGGCGGTGTCTCCCAGAGCTCTTGCAGGCACCGTGCCTGCCCGGCCTGGCTGCAGGCCGACCGCAGCCTGCCTTTTTCGGCGCAGGTTCGCCTTCGACCCAGGAGCCGGACCACCTGCCGAAATCAGGAGCCCTGGAACCCAGGAGTTTTTTGTTTTTTTGTTTTTTTTGTTTTTTTTCCTCTTGTCCCCCTCGTGATGATCATGATTCTCATTCCCATTCCCATTCTCATTATCATTTTTTTTTTTTTTTTTTTTTTTTTTTTTCTCTCTCTCTCTCTCTCTCTCACACACACCTACACGCACGCACCCTCTCTCCACTCGCTTTACCGTCTATACCCTCTCTGCTTGCTACGCCCTCGCCTAGTCTATGATATCTACTGTCTACCTGCTGTCTCCGCTTTACTCTATTCTTCCCGTGCTCTCCAGGACCTGGGAACTCGGCCGCAACCAAGATACGATAACCGTGGAATCTGAAACCGAAGAGCCAACAACCCAGGAACCGTACCGTCCGCCAGAACCGGCCCGACTTTTACGCCACTCCCTTATAATCTTTGGGGCGGGGGGTCCCGGGAACCCGTCACGACCGAAATCTCACGAGCTTGAGGTCGTAGGATTGTTCGCCTACCGAACTCGCCAGGATGCGTTCGCATATTTTTTACGGTATCCATGAAGACCCTATACGTGCAAACTTCGTTTTGGGAATTTTATTTGCAATGGGCTCGCCATTTTGTCGGAAGTTTTAAGCCGACGCGCCATTTGAGACGCTTCCAGAACTGGAAGTACACGAGTTGTTTAAGACGCCGTTTTTGAAACATGAGGGTGCGTTTTCAGAACAGGACTTTGCGGAGAGTTTTGAGGAGTGAGTGTTTTGGTCGGTTTGTGCGCGTTCTCCCCCCAAGTGTGTGTGTGTGTGTGTGTGTGGTTGTGTGTTTGATCATTTGTTTTTGTTGCCCCCCTCTTGGAAATTCTAGCAGGGCCCCGTACTGCCAGACGCATCTCGTGTGATTGAGTATTTTCGCATAGGGGTGTATTTGGGTTTCCCTGCGGGGAACGGTCTGGGTCGCGCTTGTGTCGACCAGAGGCCGGACTGCCGTGACGAGGTGGGAACTGGGGCCGTAGTCAGAACTCCGTATGGGAAACGATCCGCGCGAGGGTGTGGCGACGAAATCTAGACATATCCACGCCCTTGGCCAGGCCTATCCTGGGCCCAGGAGCGGTGGATGGGCCCAGGCGAGGCCTGGTTAGGGGCGGTTGGTCGGAGGTTGGGGGGTGTGAGATCGCAGTGGAACGGAGAGCCCCCCACCGGGACATCGGTTTCGGTTTCGTGTTCGTGTCGTGCGCGCGGGCGAGTCGAAGCTGCGTTGGCGCGCACGAGGAACGATCCCGCCGTCGCTAGGGCGATTCGGATACAGTGGGCCGCCCTTCCGCCCCTGGTGGGCGCGCGGTGTCCCGGGGTGTTCCGCCGTGGTGTCTTGTGGTGCCCCCGTTGGTGTCCCGTTGGTGTCCCGTCGGTGTTCTGTCGGCGGTGGGCATGCGGTGGCCAGGGGTGTCCCTCCTTGGTGCCGGTAGTGAGGTCGAGATTGAAATCGATGTTGAGAACGCTAGGATGGGATGGGTAGTGATATCAAGAGTGACATCGACAATGATGCTGATTGTGATATTGGTTGTGAGATCGATCATGACATCGGTCAAGAAATCGATTGTGAGATCGATCGTGAAATCGAGCGCGAGATCTATAGTGATCTCTCTAGTGATATCCCTAGCAATATCGGTACTGACATCGATTGTTTTAGATTGAGCGTGGTCGATCCTGTGAGAACGATGATTGGATCGATGGTGACGTCGATCGTGAGATCGACGTCACCATCGAGTGTGAGCTCGGTTCAGTGGGTTTTCTTGGTTTTAGTCCTAGCCACCACACATCGTATTGCAACCGCCGCGGCCAGTGCCATCGGTATCGTGGCCACAGCGGCTGGCTACCGCAGCTGTGTGGCCAAAGAAGCCTAGATGCACGATCCTTTCTTCCGCCTCTTTGCCATGTCAGCGGGTGGCGCGGGCGGCGCGAGCCTCTTCGCCAGTTCCCTCTCGCCGCCATGCTTTGCCAGCAATCTGCCAGCAGGTTCTGCCAGCGGTGCCGAGTAGTTATGGGGGTCGCGAAGCCTGGCGCAGCGTTTCCACTATTCCGTTGGCCCCAGAGCAGGATTCGTGGAGTTCGCCCCAAGCCGCGTCATGTCCGGCCAGCAGTTGTTCGATGCTCTGGGCAACGTGCGGAGGGTGACGAGGGCGGTGTCTTCATCATATTCAACGCCCGTCAGTGTGAGATCGCCAATCGGATCGATCGTTGAATCCATTCATTGGTGCTAAGACCTGGCCATGAGGCCGATAGTGGGATAGATCGAGTAGATCGAAAACGGGGAGGGTAGCGACGTTGCATCGCAACGCAAAATCGTCATTGCGCGTCGTCGTTAGCCCGAGGGCGCGTCGCCATCGTCGCCGTCGTCACCCCCGTTTCATTTGCCAGCAGTTGATTTCCCCTCCCCCAAACCTCCAGATCGCCCAGAGGGTGGTCGTGTAGGTGCGTCTACAGATCGTCGTTCGAGAGGGGTGTGCCGAATGGGGTCGGGGGCGGTGCAGGGGCGTGCTCGCTTCGGATGTAGGCGGGGGCGCCCAGGCGGAGCGATCCGCGTGACGGGTGCGCTGAATGAGCGTGGGGATCGAGGAGGTATTCGGTGGACCTTGACGCCGCCTAACGCAATTTGGAACGCAGGTCTTGCGCGGGTCTTGCGATGGTAATTCGAATCGTTGTCGCTGATCCCCGATTCCGCCCGCGGCGAGGAGGCCCACGGCCGGCCGAGTGTGTGTGTGTGTGTCTCCATCTGTGTCTCCTGTGGTCTTTCGGGCAGCGCGCGTGACCATAATTGTCCCTCGTGGGAGTTCGGGGGGCGCGCCTGCGCCATATTTGATCTTGATGTTGTTCCGCACTCTAGCATCATTAGTTGTTTGCATGCGCTTCGCGTTCAAGTCGGCGAGGCTTGTTTCACCAGGCGTTTTGCTGGCGCCATCGTCGAACATGATTCTAGGCGTCGTCGGGGCGCGGGGATTGCCCCACGTGGGTATTTTTTGAATGTTAAGGGTTTTGGCTAATTTTTCGCCTGATTTCAGCAAACCCAGAACCGCTGAAATACCCAACGTGCTTTCAATGCCCAAAGAACTTACGCCATTCACCGACCTTCATAAGAACGTCAGTGCGGGTTTGAATTTTGTGAGTGTTGTTTGCCACTTCCCTTTGTGCTGCCTGCGTGTAGTCCTTGTCGAATATTCTTCATATTCTTTCACGTTCGGTGCGGGGATGTTAGTTTTTTTGGGGGGCTCGTGTAGGTCTAGGAGGCCGTCTATGGAGCTCGTTGAAAACCCATGGGGCTTTAGCTGGGGCCATCTTTGTTCTTTGGGGCCTCTTGGGGACATGTTGGGGTCTTGGGCCATCTTATGGGGGAGGGGCCTTCAGGCTCTACTGGGGGCCTCTTGGGCCTGTATGGGGTGGGGCCCCCTTCTCGCGCTGTTTTAGGTTTGCAGACTCCCGCAAAGGTGAAAACACGAACATCACTGGAACACCCCAAGGCCGTCAATTGTTTTTGCCTTGTGCGGCCCTTTTTGGGGGTCCTCTGTGGGAACTTTATCGTCGCTTGTGGCCGTTTCCAGGCGATCAGGAGTGTTCTCGAATCTTTTCCAGAGTGTTGGGGCCCTTCGGACCCATTTTCGCAAACAGCTTGGGCATTTTGGCGGCCACGGAGGGTTGATCTTGAAGCTCCCAGGGCCCAAGAGGTGCGTTGGGGAGCTCGTTCCCCTGACGGGATTGGTCCCCACGGGAGGGGAAACGGGCAGTGGTAATGGACAATCATCTCACACGCCTCCTCACCTCTTGGCAAGTGGGGGTCGGCGATTTACGTCTTCAATTGGGGGTCTGGTTCCAAAAATACTGCCTTCCATGACCGGTCTCGGCGTTGATTTCGGCGGCCCAAGGTGTCCCAAAGGCGGCCCAAGATGGCACCACGAGAGGGCCCCAGAGGCAGATGGGAAGTCCCCTTATGGCACGGCCCGTGTGTCCGTAGTTGTCCCTCATGGTCGTTCGGGGAGCGTGTGTCCGTCATTCCCCCGATGTGGACGTTCGGGGAGCGCGCCTACATTGCATTCCATGTTGACGGTGTGACACGCTTTTGTACAGCTCTCCGATCACACGTGCTCCCAGTTCAGTGAAGAATGTTTATTTCCGCGCTTTGCTCTCCTGCTTTTTTTGTACCGATCCAGGCCGTGCCTTCGTGGAACACGTCGCTGAGACGCACTCTTTCTCACCATGGAGGCCCGGGAGGGCAGCCGGGGCTATCGGAAGGAAAGGCAGTTGCATAGTCTGTCGGGCAATGTAGCATGCTGGAACTAGCTGCATGGGCAGCATCGCTTTGCACTGTGACCCGCTGTCTCGATATCGGAACCGTCCTCACAGTATCTTCGATGCAGCGTATTGTTTGATGTCTTCAAGCCTGAGGGTTTTCTTTTCTTCAATCGGCGTCACCCACGCGTACTAATACTACGTACGTGCCGCCCCCAATGGGGCGACGCGCGCTCATAGTATATGGTCGGTGGCGGGTCTTTTCTGGCCATACCGTTCTGGTAACGGTACACACGTATATATAGATATGTGTATATGTCTGTCTGTCTGTTTGTATGTCTGTTTGTTTGTATGTTTGTCTGTCTGTGTGTCTGTATGTATGTATACACGGAAATGTCTATACAGTCTATATACGTGTATATATATAGATATATTATGTATGTGTGATTGTACATCTGCATGTATGCATGCACGCATGTATGCATGTATGCATGTATACATGTATACATGCTTGTATGTTTGCATGCATATGTATGTATGTATGTATGTATGTATGTATGTATGTATGTACGTATGCATGTATGTATGTATGTATGCATGCATGCATGCATGCATGTATGTATGCATGTATGTATGCATGCATGTATGTATGCATGTATGCATGTATGTATTTATGTAATGTTTGTAATGCATGTGCTGTATGTAATGCATGTAGTGTATGTAATGTATATAATGCATGTATGTATGCATGCATGCATGCATGTATGTATGTATGTATGTATGTATGTATGCATGTATGTATGTATGTATGTATGTATGTATGTATGTATACATGTATGTATGTGTGTATGTATGTATGTATGCATGTATGTATGTATGTATGTATGTATGCATGCATGTATGTATGCACATACTGTTTGTATGTATGTATATACATATATATACATATATATATATATATGTGTATGCATGCATGCATGCATGCACGTACGTACGTACGTACGTACGTACGTATGTATGTATGTATGTATGCATGTATGTATGTAATGTAATGTAATGTAATGTAATGTAATGTAATGTAATGTAATGTAATGTAATGTAATGTAATGTAATGTAATGTAATGTAATGTAATGTATGTATGTATGTATGTATGTATGTATGTATGTATGCATGCATGCATGTATGTATGTATGTATGTATGTATGTGTGTGCATATGTATACGTGTGTATTTATACGTATATATATATATACATACATGCATTGTTAACACTGTGTCTGTGTTCAATGTTCGGTTTGGACGGGTGCCCCAACAGAAGCACACAGCACCATAATGTCCTGATGAGCCCCCTGTCGTGGGGTTCGCTCGCCCCTCGGAGGAGTCTCGGTCTCGGGCTGCGTGCGCACTCTGCCCCGAGCGCATGCTCGGGCAGTGCGCGCCGCTCGACCCCGCCCTATACCTATTTGCATTTCAGTCTGCAACTGTTTTCGGTATCGTTTAAACGATCCCCATCCCCATCTCCATCCCCTTCGGGAAATTGCCACCTCAGTTGGGGATACACCCCTCGCAACCCGAAGGGAACGGCGTATGTCCCCATCTAGGGGGGTAAATCGGCCGGTGGGGCCCAGGTCACGCCGCTGGGGATGGGGATCGGTTAAACGATTTCATGTTTGTGTGGGACTGGTACACATCGGAGCCGGCTGGGGGTCTGAGGTGGTCCAGCATAGGTTCTGGCGAGCAGGAAGGGCGGGCAGGTTCGAGGTTCTGGGTTCTGGGCTCCGGAGATGTTTTTAAACCTTTTTCGGTCTCGGGGGCCCGTTCTCGGGGCCGGGGACTGTCAAGGACAGATCCGGGGTGAAAAATTGCACCAAATGGACGCCATGAGGGGTCCGGGGGCTGGTTTTCAGCGGATTTGGCCTCACCCCCCGTCCTGACTGGCAAGATCAGTTCAGACTCCCAGGCCGCCTCCACGGTAAAAGACACGCCTCTGTCTTCAGGGATTACCAGAACAGGGGAGGGGGAGGGATGCGCTAGGAGCAGGGTATGGGCATGCTCATATGTGAGACTCGAGGGCATGTGCAGCGCCTCGCCAGTACACGTGCATGGCTCTGGAGCGGACCCCCCTGGCATCTGCTGGAAGCCCTTGTCAGTATCTGTACGCCACGCGGTACCACGCGCCAGGCGCTCAACGGTCATGGTGTCATGATGCCTAGCTTTTCGGCGTCTCTTTCTCTCTTTCTTTCTCTTGTTCGTGTCACGCGAGTATAAGCTCCTCTTTCACTTCCGCGTTTTCTCCATTGCCCCCCCCTGCGGAGTGTAGGTTTTATTCCAACTCTTCGTCGTCGTCGTCGTCGTCGTCGCCCTCCCTCCTCCTCCGCGAGCTTTCACGCTCATGAGTCGCACACGGATCCAAAGCGCATCCCGGGATCCAGCCGAACCGCCGTGCTCTCGTAGGGCCGCTTTCTGGACGTATGTCGGCGCCTCGCCTCGCCTCCCCCCGCGGATACCGCGCCTCCCCCCCCTTCCCTGGCGTGAGGCCCGTGAGCGGCGCGCTGGCCGACGTGTGCGAGCACGGCAGCGGCATAGTGCTCTGCAGGCTCTGGCCACAGCGAGGAGGCCAAGGCGCGGCCAGCGGGGAGGAGGGTCAGGGGCAAGGAGGGGATAGGCTCAGCGGCGGCATCGACCCCCCCATCCCCATTGATCGCCGATAGCGGTCTGATAGTCCCACCCCACCCAAGAACTTGCGGGTTTGCCATCGGGGGTCTATCGCCGATCTATCGATGTATCGCCGATTCCAGGCCGATATTTTTTTCCCCTTGAAACAGTTCCTCCTATCGCTGACCCTCCGATGAGGCGGCGGAGTCGGAAAAGTCACCGATACCGCTAAT